AAAATGGAGACACAAAATGCTCATCGGTGCCTTCAACCCTTAGATCCCGTATGGTAGGAGAAAGAGGAACGTGATGTTAGGTAGCAAAGTTCGTTTCCATGAAGCAGGAAGTTGCACTCGAGTCCAGTAGCACCAAAGCCTTGAGTCTTGATTGTCCGGTGAAAGAAAGAAGACATAGGATGCGGAAGTTGTGGGAATTAATGGTGGCTTTGATGAAAGGTGGTGAGGAGCTTAATAAAGAAGAAAATGGATTTTTATTCGGGGAGTTCAAACAGATAGCTCCTACTTTGTTTGGATAGGGTCGTTTCCCGACTGCAACAAAGGTGCACCTTGAGGCAGAGTGAACTTGAGCAGTCGGGGATGCTTCTTGGGACACACAGCTGCTTTGTGATTAGGATCAACATAGTAAAGGCAAAGATTCTGAGATACTCGACGTTGCTTCTCAATAGGACTTATCTTCCCTTTAATGAGTTAGGGAGTACCAGAAATATCCATCGGGACCAAAGAAGTAGATTCAGAAGTATGCCCCGAAGACTCAAACTGGAATTCCTAAGTCTAGGATGGAAAAATGGCGGTGCAACGACTTTCCTGACGATGTTCAAAGAGACAATTGTCACATTGAACATCTTTGTTGATTGCGTTCGATAAGTCCATAGGATCTTCCATGGTAAGCAATAAATCCTTGACATCGTGTTGAGGCCGAAACGAAATTGATCAATTAGGGCCCGCTCATCCCACTGAGTGTCCAAGGCAAGGAGTTGAAACTCCACAGCATAGATCGAGGCAAGACGAGACCCCTGAAAGAGACGTCTCATCTTTGTGGTAACAGCCCAAACTTGATTTGTCTCGCCAAAACATGCTTCGAGCTTCTCTTTGAACAACTAAAGATCCATCAACTCCAGAACCATGACCCCTTTCATGCTCTTCTCCAGGAGAGGAGAAAACCATGACAAAGCTACACCTTCAAGCAACGTCCTGATCGTGCCGATTTGAGACTCAGGAGTGGGGTACTGCCAATGTTGAAGTATGAAGATCAACTTCATCTAGTTCAGGAATCCATGAAGCTCCAAATGCTTGCCTTGCAACAGGAGCTTGCTTCACTTTCGGCTCAAGGATCAAGCAAAGTTCCTGAACCGAATGTGAGTTTCCCAGTGAAGTTCTTTGTGAAGAAGGGCCGCCTTCAACTTGGTATTCTCAAATTGGATTTCTATAAGGACTTCAGCGAAGGAATCAGGATGGCTTGGAGACTCCATCGGCAAAAAAGAAAGAAAAGGGGGAAAAAGGCAAAGGCAATCAAATAATCAAAACGAGCTAAAGTAAAAACAAAAAGCACAATCTGAATCAAACTGTCAAGACCCTCAACAAGATCAGGACTGGAGAATGTAAAAGACAAAGAGAAAAGCTAGTGGAGACGAAGAAAAAACCTTAAATTGGCGTTAATTCAGATTGTGGAGAAATGGAATAAGGCTAACCTATATATACTATAAGTTGATGAAGCTCCACCACTCTTAGATCAAGGACGGCCTAAATATAGCTAAGGTCGAGGAGGCGCCATGTCATCATCAGAAATGTGGTTCGGGAATCAAGAATCATACAAGAAATCAAAGAGTCAGGAATAAGGAAGTGTCTCAAAAGTCAAGAATGTAGTTTGTAGGTCATGAATCTGGAGAGAGTTAGGAATGTGGCAAGAATTAAAGGATTCTTGACAAATTGCATAGCATTGAGCAATTGCACTAATTGTTGCTCCAGAGTTAAAGGGGGAGGAGGTTGCTACTCTACCATTAAAAGGAAATAACAAAGAGAAGAAGGTGAGAAAAGCTATATGAAAAGGGATCTAAACAATGTAAAAGTTAAATCTAAACCAAAATCCCAAATCCAATCACTCTTTAGGGATAATCAAAGTTATCCCTCAACTCCACTAATGTGAAAGTATGAGACCTATCTGTCACAAATGTGATTACAGGTATTAAAAGTTACATATTAATTCTTTTTTTTACTGCCACGATTGTAGAAGGTTCTCACTTTAGCCCTTGGTAGCTAGTATCAATTAGCCCAAAGACCCTAGTTTATATATAAGAGTTAGTGGTTCAAATTGAAATCAATCTAATAGCGACTAAAATCCCACTACACTGATATTAACATATGGCATCATAGCTGTACACTTAGACCTCATAGCAAAAAATTTATTTTGGATTTAGATTATATGTATAGCTATTAATTTAAAACTTAAGAATTGCATTAACAAATCCTTCATGAAGTCTTTATTTTTGGAAACTCTATGTATATATTATAAATTTTATAATCTTCTTTAAATGAATTTTTGTTTCTTATGATTTTTTTCTCAAGACTTCAAATCCATTTATTTCCAAATGAACATCTTCTAGAAGCTAATTTACCACTAATGTTTTAAAAATTAATATTAAATATATAATATTATTTTGATAAATACTAGACTGTAAATTTGATTTCTGTGAGTGTTATATCCAAAGCCAATCTAGCATTGATCTCATTTAGCTGATTCAAATGTAATAAAATAAATAAATGGAATACAATTATGTAGAAATAGAGATTAATATTCATTTACAATTATTCAAAGTTGCTTCCTGGAGGCTAGATTGTGCTATCTTAATCCTGTGCAAACTCATCTTCAAAAGAGTCTAGAGTCTTTATTTATTACTTATATAGAAGTCTCAATTTTGCAATATTATAAATCATGTCAATTGAAGTATTGTTCATTGCAAAAGTAACATGTGTAATTGAGAAAAATGAAAAATATGATAAAAAACTTATATTCATGTGTAGCAATTTTTACTATATCTTTAGCCATTCTTCTAATTTGTGATTGTTTGCAATATATATTAATTTTTTCAATTTTAAAGACTTTGCATGTTAAATTTTGTGCTTGGTTTGTACAAACTCAATGGAGAGCTCTTCATGACTCATCCACTTAAATGATCCACCTAGATAACCACAACCACTTCTCCTACACAAAACTTGCAAACTCCTTTTTGTATAGTGCACTTGTTTTATCCAACTTGACCACAATATTTGCACTTGAACTTTTCCTTTCTAAGTATACCACAGCTTGCGAAACTTGTATTCTGGAAGAGTTTATTCCATCCTTTGTACAGCATTTGTATAAATTTCCCTATATTGCTTATTGAAAATCCAAATGCTAGAATCCTCAATTCTAAATTATGAGCACTTGCCTATTGATGCCTTTAGCTCTTCCAAACATTACATTGCTCCTGCTTCCAACTCAAGTTGATTCTTTGGTATTGATGATCTTGTTTTTTGTTCCTTTTACAAGATCCTAAAGCAGTACCTTATGACCCTAGGATCATATTTGGCATGAGATTCAATTTTACACCAAGAGTTGTTGAGCACATACAAAGCAAGATCATTTTTGTTTTCCATGTGCTTGACAGCTCTTTCATTGTGTTAGATCAACCCAGTTAGTTTAAAAATTTCAAAGTACAAAGCTAGGAAAATAGAAATACATACACATCTTGTAATGATGGTAGTTGATAGCTAGTGAGTAGAGATGTCAATGGTTGGCAGTTTCTTGTGTTTTATTTTTACAACATTATGATTCTTGAATTCTTCTAGCCTAAGTTCTTCATTTAAATGCAATTGGCTCCTTCATGGATGCCAGAAATGTCACCACTTTTGATCAATCACCCCTCAAATTTGCAAAGGATAAGGAACTCCTTTCAAACGATCATGCTGAGCAATATGTCTATGCTGAGAGGCAACTTTTTCTTTTCATTGTTTTAGCATATTTATATGATGCTAATGCTGAGATCTGCACCTAGAGCATGACAAATAGCTGAGTATGGGGAATTGCCTAACCTAGCTGAGCTTGGAAGCATTCTAGCTAGGATTTGAACTACTGTAAACTTATATTAAGCCTTGCCAACCATATATTTCAAAAAGTTGTATAACTTTCACATTTGTAAAAACTGGTTCAAAAGAATTTAGTTATGAAGTATTATTTTGTGCTGTATCATACATTCACCCAAAGGTGCTAAACCTTGAACCCAAAAACCGAGACTACTCTATGTTCTAGACGTTTTTGCGAAGTAGAGTAATTCCAGATGCATCATGTGACTGTGCTTTCTTTTCTTGCGAATGTGTAGGTCTTTATGAAAGATCTATAGCCACAATGACCAAGATAGATATTGTGGCAATCAAGGAGCTAAAAAAGCAATGTAGAGACAAGATTTTTGCAATAGATTTCTATTCCAATTCAGTGCAAGTTATTCTTCAAAGTTGACGAATCTAGATCTCTTGCACGGTCACTAGTTCTACAGGTGAACAAGTGAGCAGCAAGTAGTCACCTTTGACATTTATGTAATATTTGTGTACAGATGATTTTCATTAAAATTAAAAAAATCTAATCATATTTATGACTTATTATATCCTTTAGAGTTAATGTGTGTAATAAAACATGATAATGACAATGTGGTTCTAAATATCTAACAATGAAAAAGAAGAGAAATCGTCCTACGACATGCTGAGTTGCTAGATGAAGTTCTCGTCTTTGCCTCCCAAATAGCCGGGTAACACAGCAGCTGGTATGCCTCCTGGACGCACGAGCATTGCTCGCAGTCACTGGTCAGGCAGACATCGGTGCGATGCGGTAGATGCTCCGAGGCAAGGTTCTTCAGTGCATTGGGAACAAAGCCGCGATACAGACCAAGCACTCCATCTCGCTCAATGATTCCTAGGAAAGTCAGTGCCAGAGCTCACGCCCAGCAGCGCGTAGAGATCTGCTGTCGCGCCACATGCGTAGGAGGAGAAGGAGCAGCGCGTGACCCCAGCCTTGCAGTTCCTCCTCCTCTCAGCTTCTTGCAGTGCTCTGGGAAGACGAAAAGGGAGAGATCCTTGCAGAAAACTAGACATCCTTTTTCCGCAGCTCTACTTTATAAAGGCCGAAAGATTCCGCGAATATACCTATGGTTAATTTAAATAAAATCGCACATTTTATATTATCGGATTCACGGATAAGCACACATGTTGGACAGCAACACGTGAGATCCGGAATCTCGAGTGTCCACGGCGAAGAGATTCCTGGCCGCGTCGCTGGCCCGCCCGACGTCTGCATGGAGCCGGCAAGCGCCCAGCAGCGCGCCCCACGTCTTGACGTGCGGTACGTAGGGCATGGTCTCCACCAGCTCCTCCGCTCGCTCCAGATGCCCGGCCTTTCCCAGCAAGTCCACCATGCACAGGAAGTGCTCCGCCAGCGGCGCCACCCCGAAGTCCTGTTGCATGGAGCGGAAGAAGGCGCAGCACTGCGGGACCCTGCCGATGTGGGTTTGAGCAACGAGCCCGCTCAGGCAAGCCACCTGGTCTGCGGGGAATCCCTCCGCCGCCATTGCCGCAAACATCCGGACACCTGACTCCCCGCGGCCCGTCTGCGCGTAGCAGGAGACTATGGCGCTCCACGAGACTCCGTTGGATTCTGGCATGGCGTCGAACACCCGGCGCGCGCGATCCAGATACCCCTTCTGGGCAAGTGCTGCCATTATCGCATTCCAGGTCTTGGCGTCTCTGTGCGGCATTGCGTAGACGAGCGATATCCCTTCGCCTATGTTTCCGTTTTGCGCGTAAGATTGGACCATGGCCGTGTAGGAGATTTGGTCTCGATCGGGCATGTCGTCGAACGTTTCCTTAGCGTCTTCCAGATGCCCGCAAATGGTATATGCTGCCGCCATTGCGTTCCACGCTGCCTGCGTGTGCTCCGGCATGGAATCAAAACAGCATCTTGCATTCTCCAAGTTGCCATTCTCCGCGAACCCGGATATCATCGTTGACCACGACACCAGGTTCCGCTCTGGCATATGCTCAAAGAGATTCTCCGCCTGAGGCATCTGCCTGGCCTGGGCATATGCAGACATGAGCGAGCTCCACGTCAGCACGTTTTTCTCTTCCATGGAATCGAAAACCTCCTGGGCGTGGGTGGGCATTCCCGCCTGGGAATACGCGGTGATCATGGCCGTCCCCGCCACCACATTCTTGTCCGTAATCGAATCGTAGACGTCCCTTGCAGCAGTGATGTGGCCACGGTCGGAAAGGGCCTGGAGCATCACCGTGCACGAAGCAGCACTCCAGTCCGGCATGGAATCAAACACAGCTTTCGTGCTCGCGAGGTCGCTGTTTTGGTAGTTCGCAAGGAGAATTGCGATCCAGCTTATCACGTCATGCTCCGGCATGGACCGGAACACCACCCAAGCGTCGGAGAGGTGCCCCATTTGGGCATAGGCCTGCAGCATTGTCGTCCAGGTAGCGAGATTCCAATCCGGCATGGATTGGAATATTGACTTTGCGGCCTCAAATTGCCCTTCTTGGGCAAATGCGGTGAGCACCATGTTCCAAGTAAATACGTTTCTCTCTTGCATCGAATCGAGCAGATCAAGTACACCTTTTAGATCATGATCAGTGGCGTAAGCAACCAACATGATATTCCACGAGATCAACGTCCACTGTGGCATTCGATCGAAGAGATTCTTTGCTTCTTCCAGATGCCCTGCTTTGGCATATGCTGTGATCATCGCGTTCCATGTCACGGCGTTCCTCTCGGGCATTTGGTCGAAGAGGCATTTTGCGCCGTCGATGCTGCCTGCCTGGGCGTAAGCGCCAACCATGGCCGTCCACGTGTAGACGTCCTTGTGGGCGATGGCATCGAAGACCCTGCATGCCTCGTCCAGGCAGCCGCATTTGCCGTAGAGGCGGAGGAGATGATCGTTGAGGAGCTTATCGCGGGAGAAATCGCTGTGGAGGATTTGGGCGTGGATGCTCCGGAGCTTGGGCAGATCACCGGCGCCGCACGAGCTGAGAAGGAAGACGAGGGCGGAATGCGATGGCGGTGGAGCTGCTGGAATTGATCGGAGAGGCGCCGCTCTCATGAATCCTCACGATGCCGAAAACATCGAGAGAAGAAAAAATCGCGTCTTTTCGAAAGATCCAATCCGGTTTGGATTAGCGGAAAAATCCGGATAAGAACGAACGAGTGACAAAACAGATTTTCTATGGATTGGACCTCATTGATTGATCAATTGACTCAAAAGGGACTGTACATTTTTTGGCGGACGGACCCGGGAAAAGCAAGCGATGCGGTCGGAAAAATCTCACTTCCTTCTCAGCGATGGATTTGTTCTTGCTTCTTTTCGCAGTGATCTCTGTGCCGCTCCTCCCTCACAAAGCACAATTTGTACAAAAGAAAAAGTAGCAAAGGAAAAATTCCAGCTTGTGGTGGATGAATCGATCGAGGTCCACCTTCAGGATTTGACGAGCATGACGATGCAGCGGCGGAAGATGTAGAACCTCGACCTTTGCTCCTTCAAGAGCGAGTAGAGTCGGCCGCATTTCAAGCCGCCGCCGCCGCCGCTCGACGAGCGCGACTCGCCCAGTCGCCTCACGGCATGGCCCGGCTTGTTGAGGCACTGACCCATGATCTCTATCGACGATCGAATTGCTTGTGAGCTACAAGTATATATAGCGAGCGAATGGATGGATCACTGCACTTCCCAAATCAAATCTAACCTCGCCCCGCTCAAAATCACAGAAAATGGGGAGCCAAGCGAAATAATTCGCCGAGCAAACCAATCAAACAAGCTGTCGGCGAGGAGCGAAGAACCGTAGCGCACTACTTTTTTGCAAGTTGCAAGATTGCGATGGACCAACAGAACGGGGCCGGAGGCCTCCTTTTATATCCATAGCCGTCGGAGAGGGAGAGAGGAGACCAAATATTCCGTCCAACGATTCCGTCAAGTGGGCCACAACCCACCTCTTCCGTATCAGCATTTCGGCCCATACGGCCGCGTGACGTTGTGTTCATGTGGCCTGCCGACGCTGTTGTTTCCATCAGCTTAGCTCACTAATCAAATAATTTTTAACTAATCCTTTTGTCAACCCAGCGATCGTGTCTCCTGTTTCGTTTTGTCCCTGCATCGCATGCCGCGTTACGTGTAGAGCTCCCATTGGAGATGCGCCGTATTTTATACGGGGCATTCATACGCCTGGCCTCCAAAGACAAAACAAAGCCAAAGCGCCCAAAGCGCAATTGCCAAAGAGAACCCGTCATCATTCCCTGGCCAAGGTTGTCAAGATATAAAACCATTCATTCCCATCTCTCGATCATAGCTAGCGTTGTTTGTTTCCTTCGCACTGATATACTATGATATTTGTTATGGTTTTACATTGCGCTAGCTTCCATAAAGGAATCTTTTTTCTAATAAAATCAATGTCTCTTTCACTTTGATCTGTGCATTTTGTGTGATGATATCACACACACATACATGGTACGCACAAGGGGGTGCGTTTCCATTCCACGCCACATGCAAGCCACCAAAGCGCGAGAGAACCATCCAACGCTCTCTTTTGTTTAAATCCCAGGCGAAAGAAAGCACGGGCCAAATCTCATACGATCCTGTCCGCTGGTGGCTAGCGGCGTGTACAGTATACTACTCGTACTCGTATAAAACTAGCTCGTAGGAACTTTCATTCCGCTTCGTCATAGATTTGTTTTGTGCCGCTTGTTCTAGAGCTTGTCAGCCGTTATTTCCAGAAGAGTTCAAGGAACTCGGACCACTTCCATTGCTATCTTTCCTCGGATGATCCTTGGATCGCTGTCCTGTTCTTATGCTTTTTTAAAGCTTGCCACTCGAGAGAGCTCACGGATCGATGAAAGGGAGCTTATTAGCGAGGCAACATCGCACCTTCGTTGCCCCAGATCTCGGTGATGTTAACTTAAGCCCAAAAAAAACGTTTGCTTATTTTACTCGGAGGCACAATGCGGTGGCTTGCCACCATTGGTCTCGAGTCACGGCTGCGAGAAAAGAAGTGGTGAACTGGTACAATGTCTCGCGAGATTGTGTGATAAACCTCGGAGTTCTCAACGATGCGTCGGCTAAGTGCAGTGTTGCGGCTGATTCGGATCTGCGAACGAAATCATTCGTTTGTATGCCAAAGATGACTTTGAAACCCAAAACCACACCTCTAATCGAGGACGAGGCGAGAACGCCATCCTTTCCTCATGTGATGACCGTTGGCTTGTCCCGGCCAGTGAAATCTTTCAACTTCGAGACCTTCAACGCGATCTCTGAGAAAACAAAAAACATTGACAAAGATTTGAGATCAAGCAAAGCGACCAGCACGTTACCTATCAGGGGTTTCAGCGCCTCCTGGGCATCGAGATCGTGCTTTGACTTGTCCGTCTCATACTGTTCCACGTAGAGGCGTATTGTTGCGCCTGCCGACCCGGTTCCCTACAGGAAAACGAGCGTGGTTTTTTTAATGAGAAGGAAAGCGAGGCTGACACTTACTGATAAACGGAAAATAAATCGCGAGCCGTCGCTGAAAATGAAGCGGATTCCTTGCTTGGAAGATACGCTCCCGTCGATCTGTCATTTCAAAAGTGTCAGCAGGCAGGCAGATCGTGTGAGCAGAAAATAAACATAAATAAAAAATGAATCAGTTGTAGCACTCACCGGATCAACGTATTTGAAGTCGTCCGCAAGAGCAAGAGAATATTTGCCTGCAAGAAGCGTTAAAGGTTTGAGAGGTGTTTTCGAAGCCACATCGGAATACCATATTTATCTCCTTTCTTGCTCTTTGCAATAAGACTTCGAAGATGATCAATCATTTTGTTGGCCGAAGCAGCATCGCATTCCTATAAACGAGCATGAGACAATTGATGATCTCGACGTTGAAAATTCAAGGATTACCTCGTAATCATATCTTGAAAAGAAGTTGCGTCCATAATTCGCCCAGTATTCCCTGGCAACATCCTCAACTGTCACAAGCTTGTCACCGACCTTTTTTCCTTTGTTTCTGTGAGCCAATATGGATAGCCATGCCAGAATTGCCCTGGTTTAAAAACCGTGCAAGATGTAACTACTGGTTACATCATCTGCGAAGTGATAGAAGCTTACCAGATTCCATCCTTTTCACGAATATGATCAGATCCCGTTCCAAAACTTTCCTCTCCGCAAATCGACAGTTTTCCCGCGTCCATGAGATTGCCAAAAAACTTCCAGCCAGTTGGAACCTTCAACAATTTTGCTGTGTGAACCATTGCTCATAAAGTCGGTAGCGTCCCGTACCTCAAAGAATGGAACTTTAAGCTTCTGTGCAACTCTGTCCAACGCTGCGCTTGTTGGCATTGAACGTGCCAGCCCCTGTAGAAGTAGAAACAATGAGAATAAGTACTCTCTAAAGTTACCAAAATTCAGCATACCTTTATTCCCTTCTTGAAGTATGGAATGCATGGCTGAGCATTGGCTGCAATCATGGCAACAGAGTCCGAAGGAGTGACAAAGAAATTGTTGCCTAGGATCATGTTCCGGTCTCCATCACCTGCATTCTTTTTGAATTCAAAAAATCCGCTCGCAGTAAAGTTTTTAACTCTGCTTTACCATCACTTGCAGCACCAAAGTCTGGTGCATCCGGACTAAACATTAGTTCAACCAGTTCCTCGGCATAACTGAAAGCATGGCGAATAAGCAGCTTCATTGTGAACTAAGTGCTTACGTAAGATTAGGATCAGGATGGCCGCCTCCAAAATCCTCCTTAGGAACACCGTTATTTACAGAACCCTGCGGAATCCGAAGAAAACATGACTGTCAGTTGCATTCCTAGACATACCTTTTTAGCTCCTAAGACGTCCACGAAAATTGGTTCAGCATACGCTCCAGTTACAGCATGCATAGCGTCAAATTTGAAACTGCACCTCATAAAAGTCAACAAAGGAGATGCTGGCAGAGGAGAGAAGGACCTGAAATCGGAGCGTGACAAGAGACTTTTGAGAAGTGGAAAATCGAATACGCTCTGCACAGACAAAAGCGAGAAGTTTCCAATCTAGTTTGGGCAGTTTGTTCTTGCCTTCAGCAGCTCGAGATAGTCAGAAACAGGATCGATGACTTCTACAGTGAAGCTGCCAAATTTATGGGTCCCAAGTTTTGACAAATTTACATCAGGAATATCCGCCATTTTAATTTCTTTAATCTGCAAGGATGATATGAATGCATGTAAGCAAAAATAAACAACAATCATACAGATTGGGTGTTTCCATAAATCTTGTCTGTTATGACCTCAGGTGCAGGCTGACCGCTGCTATAATTGAACTGAACGAAAAATGCGAGTTAGCAGAAGCCCAATGATCGTATCAGAGAAATTAATGAGCAAAAAACCTTAATACCCCAGTCGTTCTTGGGACCGCCAGGGTTGTGGCTCGCGCTCATGATGAATCCTCCATTTGCCTGAAATACTGAAAATCAGAATCACTTCAAGCACATACTAGAAGCCTTACTTTTCGTTTCCGTATGACAGCAGAAACGGCGGGAGTAGACATAATTCCATCCCTGCAAGCTCCACATCAAGTTACAAACAAAGAGATACGACGTAAATTACCTTGCGACAAAAACTTTTTTTACTCCATTTCCCGCTGCGATCTTCATAATTATCTGGAAACATAACAAGCTTTCAGAGCTTATGATTTATTTGACATGCAGTATAGCTACCTGAGCTGCTGGCTTGTTGAAATAACGGCCATCACCTCCAAGCACAAGAGTCGCTCCTTTCACGTCCGAGGATGAAAGGGAGTTGAAGAGCGACTATAAAAGGAATATATGTCAATGTAAAAGCTCTGTAAGCAAAATGCAAATACCTGTATCCAATTTGAGAGGTAATTTTGTTCCATGAAAACTTTCACCTGATACAACGGAGTAAGCAACAAAAACTTTACGACACGCTTTACCTTCTTTCTTAATCCACTCGTTCCAGTTTTCTGCCCCTCAATTGGCTTCGTTGGTACAGTTTTAACCTGTGTCACAGCAAAAGAACTACGTGAAAAACGCGAAGATTTGATCCTTCACCTATATCCCAATCCCCATGGATGCATAATTCGAATTCATCCCAGTGCTCTACTCTACAACTCTAGATTCCCGGAAGAAAACAACGTAGTCGCAATCAGGGAACCTTGAAACCTTCTGAGCCTGCCGCTCTGGTCCGCAATCTCCCATCGCAAGTAGAAATTTGCCACGGACAGTTCCACATTTTGCTCCTGGCAAGAGACTCGCAGCCGGTGGAATCCCGCATTGTCTGGCACCACGACAAGGAGAAGGCCTCGGGAGCGACACAACTAGAACTGCCAGTGTGCCGCATTGCGAATGACACAGATCGAGGCCGCGGCTTGACTGATCTCGCGGAAGAAATCTCCGACGCCGTGAAGGACGACGACGCCGGCAGCGCCGATCCCAGCGACGCCATAGCGGCCGCCATGTCATGCGCCCGCGAAATACCTGAAGAACCCTAGATTCCCGAGCCCGGCATGTCAGCCCTCCCTGTTTCTCCCATTGATGAATGACAAAACTGAAGAACATCCATTATAAACCTTGGCCGTTGGGGTAATCAAATCCAACGGTGGCACGGGCGCGATCGACGATCTCGTCATCGCTATATATTGGATTGTGAGGTGGCAGCGTTTCACGGGTTATGAGAGACACACATGCAAGCAAATCGCGGCCGTTGGGTTTTCAGGTTACTTACATCATAGCCGCTGATCTTGTGGCCCGTGCTCTTCATCCTCCTGGAACAATACACCGCAAACCTGTCCATTTGGAAATGGATCTTCGCCATAGCCATCTCTCCCATGGACATCTCCATTTTAGGTTTAGCTCTGAGTGTGAAAATTTCTCCCTTCCAGATTTCTTTTATAGGCATTGGTTCGTTTAGTAGAGTACACTCGAGCAATTGGGGATATCCCAAGATTGCGTTGTGGGCGTATCGGCATATTCTACCTCCATTTGAAACGGACGGCGGGGATTGTCCCATTTTGAGGGTTTAAGGCGGAGGATATTCTTTTTTCATCTCCTTGCATTTTTAGGGTTCTTTAGAGGCTATGGAGGCAGTCCAGGAGCGCCTGGGGAAGCTGGACGCGGGATTCAAGCAATGGTTGAGGCAGCAATCGGCGCCCGTGGAGGTGGCAATCGTCACAGCCGGTGGCGCTGCGCAGGGCGGTGCAATTGGGGGGCTCATGGGGCGATTGACCGCGGATGCTGCCGCCGGCGCTCCACCGATGGGCAACCAGCTGCCGCAGACGAATCCACAGATGATGGTATGCAATCTTGTCGCGAATTTGGAAGGGAAACTTTTCGAGAGAATTTTCAGGCTTTTGCTGGCGGACCTTGGGCTCAAGCTCGGAATTTTGCCGTCATGTCTGGAGTGAATTCTGGGCTGACTTGCGTCATGAAACGCTTGCGTGGTGGTGTTGAGGATGCTCAGACCAGGTAAGCTTTTAGATGATTCTTTGTATAAGCTTGATACGAATGTTTCCCTGTTCTCCTGGCAGTATGGTGGCGGGATTTGGATCTGGTGCGTGTCTTTCGATCGCGAGCGGCATGGGAGGCGAGAATCCAGTGGCGTCTGCTGTCACTACTGGCTTATCTTTCGGGCTTATTCAAGCAGCGATGTTCAAGGTCTGTAAATTCTGCCGATTGGGAGTTTGTCATCCATTCCTCTTTCCAGGTGACGCAAAAGTTTTACCAACCTCCGGGAGATGACATTCAATACCTGCGATCCAAGAACATGCTACGAGTACTCGGACTGGAAAAGTACGAGAAGAACTTTAAGAAGGGCTATCTTACCGATGAAACTCTTCCCTTGCTCACGGACAGGTCCGTCGCTACTCTGCCTATTATTTCTTGTTTCTGTGCTCATATCTCTCATATCTCTTATATGCCTTTCAGTGCACTCAGGGACGTGAAGATTCCACCGGGACCAAGGCTTTTAATCCTGCACCACATCGAAAGGTCCGGCCGAGCTCATATAGTTTAAAATTCATTCTTCTCACGATCGCCCACTGCAGAAATCTAGACGTCGCGAGGAGGGAATAAAGGGAATACATTCTTGTACAATCACGATTTGCGCTGTGACGAGAGAAGTTTGAGGAACGCAAAGTTTTGATTTGGAGGATAAAAGTTGTGGCTGGTTGGCTGATACACGAGCAAAAAAACTTATTTTACGGAGAAGCAAACAACGAAGCAAAGGATTTTCACGCCACGAATCACGATGGGCGATTAATTTGGAGGAGATCAATCGAAATCCTTCCTCCATCCATCGCTTGCATCGCATCAAAGAAGCAACAAAAACAACACGTAAAAACCTGAGAGTGAAAGACAGGCTCCATGAATGCGCTCCGCACGGCCCTCGAAGCGTGGCATTGAATGGCCAAGGCTGGAATTATTACCACATCAAGTTGTCAACTTTTAAAACGAGCTAGAGCTCGGATCAATGGCTGGATGGATGGATGGATGGAACCCTCCAATGAGGTAGCGTTTTGCCTTTTTATACCTTACCCGGGGGTAAAAACGGGCAGGGATTTCCGCAACGGAATGCGCGATTCCCGGGCGGGAATGTGTCTAAGGTTTAGGGTTTATCAGATCTGTGCGCTTGTTTTTAGTCGCGTGTTTCAGCTGATTCGGTGCCAAATGCGAGGAATCTAGCAGCGGCGGCAGCAGCAAACGATTCTTCCGCCTCAGCAGATGCCAGTTCCACGATTCGCAGTAGCGGCGCCAGATAATCTTCATGTTTCTCCGCATTTCTCAAGGTAATCTTCCCATTCGCGAATCGCGACGCCGAGAGCTGTGGTTGCGGGCATTGATTCTCGCTCTCTAGATTCACAAGGGCCCGGGCTAGATTGGTAAATCGTCCTCCAGGTACCGGACAGTTGTGGGAAAAAGAATTAAGAACAGGGAGATAGGGCTTGCTTGCGCTGGAGGCATCTGGTAGAATAAAAGGCAGGGCAGGGGCTCACAGGATTCTTTCCTCTTCTTTTTTCTCCTTTTTTTCTTTCTCTTGGGGGCTTGCTTTATGAATGTAGCCAGAGCTACTCCCGCTGTTAGTTCCTTGCTGCAGTACTACCGCGAGATTCAATGGGATTGAGTAGCGGCCTTTGTGGACGAATGGCAAGAAGAAGGCCACCAAGTTTTACTGCTGCTGCTGCTGCTACTACCATCTTCTCCAGAGAGGCAAGATCTGCGGCGACGTTACTACACTCTCCTGGGATCTCTCTCGGCTATGCTGGGAAGTCTGGCTCTACTGCTAGAAGCTGCTGGTAATGACGAAGATCAAGTAGAGCGGGATGGTGGTGGCGATGGAGCTTGGTGCGTAAAGCACCATCATGGCGACCCGAGAATCATGGACGAAGTGCAAAGAGGAACAAGGTGGAGGAGGATATTTCTCTCATTGGTGGTGTCTGCCGGGGCGGGCATCGTTTTGCTCTTCATTGCCTTTGGCATTATAGTCTCTGCCACGGGACAGAGACGACACCAGCGCAGTAGCAGTGGACAAGGCAGCAGGCTTTCTCTTCTCGAGGAGAAGCAAAACTGTGAGTAACATCAGCTCTTTTGTTTTGAGTTTCAAGTCACACTCTACTGAAAGCTCTCCTCTTGTTTGTTAGCGTTTGTAGCAACTTGTCCGGATGGATGGCTACGAGGACCGGCTGATCGATGCTTTATGCTCGTCAACGCGAGCAGCACTTGGGAGGAATCCGAGACGAGTTGCCGGAACAGGAGTGGTCACCTGGCCTCTATAACTTCCGATGCCGAGGTCGCGTTTGTCAAAGGCCACTGTACCGGTGTCTTTGATCCGTGCTGGGTCGGGGCTGTGATATCCAACACCAGCCGGGGAGTTTTGTGGAGGTGGAGCGACTGTCACGTACGCTGGAATTTTTCCTTCGCTTCCAGCAATTGCTCCAGCTCGGGTTGCGTTAACTTGGGAGAATATTGCTTGTCTGTGTCAAGCATGCGCGGGCTTGTACGTGAGAACTGTGGAGACAGGCATAGATTCGTCTGTGTTCTTGCTACGAAAGGTAACTCGGCAAGTTTGTATCGATTCCTTGTCTCTAAACTTATTTCTCTTGACTTGGCTTTAGAGGGCGAATGTATACGAGCTACAAACCGCAAAGCGTACCTCATCGTACTTATAGCCGTAAGCTGTTTGATACTTGTCACGGCATTAGCGATTGTCATCTGGCTTCTAGTCTATAGAAGGAAGAGGAGGAGGAGGAGATCGAGAAGAGCGCCGTCGTCTTCCATGGTGCCGCTCTCCTCGCTCAGACTATTTACTCTGGACGAGCTTAGGATCGCCACCAACAATTTTGGGATGGAGAACAGGCTCCGGGGTAGCACTTTCAAGGGGATTCTCTCCGATGGCGTTTTGGTGGCTGTCAAGAAGCTGGAACGATCGAGCTTCCAAAGTCGGAAAGAGTTTCTAGCGGAGATGAACCGGATAGCGCGGCTGCGGCATCCAAGTCTGGTGGCGGTCATTGGATGCTGCTACGATCACGGCGAGCGATACATAGCCTACGAGTACATCGCGAATGGGCCGCTCGACCTCTGGCTGCACGACCCCGTCAGGAGAGGAACGCTGGACTGGAGAACGAGGATGCAAATTGCGGTCACCGCTGCTCAAGGCATAGCGTAAGTAGTAACCTGGTTAGTTTCTCGTTTTCTTCGTTCTTTTTACGATTCAAGCGTGGCATGTAGGATCATATGCATTCGTTCTTTGACGATTCAATGTCATTCTTTGGTTTGCTTGAGTATTATAGCATCTGGTTTGAGTGTTTTTCCGATTCGGTGATTGATCTTTGTTCATTTCTTTTTTCAGTACAAACCGCTGAGCGTGCCATGCTTGGCATCTAGAAAACTCCGGCTGGTTTCACTAATATGCTTGCGTTACTTCATTCCTTTTTCTCCCGTGTGGCACTAAGAACTTCGCTCTGGCAGATACTTGCACGACCAAGTGAAGCCTCACGTCATCCACAGGGACATCAAGGCGAGCAGCATTCTCCTCGACGACAAGTTCCACGGCCGCGTCATGGGAGTGGGCCTGGCCAGCGTCGTGCCGTGGGAGGCCGCCTACGAGCGCACGGTGGTGGCAGGGACGCACGGCTACCTCGCCCCGGAGTTCGTCTACCGCAACGAGCTCACCACCAAGAGCGACGTCTACAGCTTCGGCGTGCTCATGCTGGAGCTCATCAGCGGCCGCAAGCCGGCCATGCCAGTGGACGTGGTGGACTGGCAGACCATCTTCGAGTGGGCGACGCCACTGGTTCAGTCGCAGCAGCTGCAGGAGATCATCGATCCGTCGCTCACGTCGATTCCCGCCCCCGCACACATCCAGATGCTCGTGGATCTCATCTACAGCTGCACGCAGCACGTCGCGTCTATGAGGCCTCGGATGTCTTACGTTGTTCATCAGCTCGATCAGCTCAAGGACGTGGAGAGCTTGCAGCCCAGGCAGCAGCAGCAGCAGCAAATACAAGAGGTGGTTTATCCCGCGAGAGATGCTCGCTCCAAAGAGCCGGCTCTCATCACAGTCCAGTCGGAGATCATGGAGTCTCTCTTCTAGGCTCTCAAGATTCCATTGGAAGAAAGAACTCGTTATGGTAGAAAGGAGAAACTTTGTGCTTGATTTTATCCATTAACGCCAGAATTGTCATTGTTTCCTCTCAAATACTTTTCTCTTTTTCTTTCATGCGATTATTTACTTTGCAGTAACTCTAGTCCGCATGTAAGCTATGTGGCCAAGAACTTTACCATGCAAACTTCCGGTTAACCCACTATAAATTCACCGCGCTCGCTCCAGCCTCCATCAAGCTCACGAGTTTCATCTCATTCGCTCTGTTGTTTTCTCTTTGGTTTCGATTCTCTAACTCCTCCAAATGGCGTCGATCAAGTTCGTGGCTGCTGTCTTGATGCTCATGGTGGTGGCCGCGGCGGCCATGCGCGACTGGAACGATTCCCCTCGCGACCGCCGCCGCGAGCGGGAGTGCCGCCAACTGCGCGGGCAGCTGCAGCAGTGCTCGCGTGACAGTCCCTCGCCCCAGTGCTGCAGTGTGGCGCGCCAGTACGTGGAGAGCAAAGGTTGCCGCCCTCGCGACATTGGAGCCGACCTCCTCCAGCACTGCCAGCAGCAGCAGCAGCAGCGAGGCGATGACGATGACGATCAGGAGCGCCGCCGCTACTACAACGACGACGATGATCGAGGTAAAGCCAGCTATAAACTTTCTTGGTCTTGATTTCGTCTTCATTGCTTTTGTTTTCCAGAGGTTCTCGACTTCATCCGTGGAGCATGGTTCTAGATCGTAGAGACTGTGGAGAGCATGAAAATGGATGGGAACTGATCGCTCTAAATAAATGCTCAGACTTGGAATAATAATAAGAATTTGTTTGTGTGACAACTTTTTACATGAAATATATCTAGAAAAATTAGTCGAATAAACAAAAAATGTGTGATAGAATAGAAGCTTTCACAAACAAGTAAAGATGCTTTGAAAAAAGCTATGCGATCATTTATGCAGATAACTAACTGTAAGGGATGGTGGCACAGATGGTCAGCACGTATATTTCATAGCTGGTGCAAACTTGGCTTTAACGAAAAAGAGTAAGCATCAGGAAATCTGGGTGAGCAAACACAATTAAACACAATTATCATCGTTCAGATGGATGCCACACTATACAAAAAGATGGAAACTTGGTTATTAAGGAATAGGAATGCAGCTGGAGTGTATTGTGAGCCCCAGCCAGAATGTAGATCACCATCACTTTCGTGCGTCGGACGTTTCTGAAGAAGAAAGAAGACTAATCCAACAGCGCGAGAGAAAGCTTCAATAGAAGTAACAATTACTGACAAGCTCCATCAATCACTGAAGAATTCCTAAAATATAGCTGATTGTCAATCACAGATAAATTCCTTGCATATATAGTCCTACCATTAGTCACTAATGAGTTCCTTGCATAGAATCTGCTATGATTGTTGACAACAAGCTGATAACTAATTCCAAAGTTCAAGTACTCAGTACATATGCCTCCACAAAATGTCAATCTATTCGAATTGCTGGCAGCATCCACGGAAATTCGTCCAACAATTTCAGTGAGTGAGTCCCGTACGTATGTGGGATGAAAATTGAAGGGGATAGAGGGGTCAGGATCACAGATTAGAAACTGATTGCTTATAACTAAAGGCGCATTCACGGACAAAATGAACTTCAGCCGTTGTTAAACTCTAAATTTAAAACTGGCCTTCCTACTGGATTTATGCGAAAGATGGTAAGAGGTTGAAGATGGTATGAGGGGGTTGACAAGCAACCCACAATAAAAGTAACACCAAATAGTTGATACATCAGAGTATAACATTTTGATTGGCAAATTACACCTCTTAGTTTCATAATTCTAGAGATTTCTGGACAACTATTTGGGTTAAAGCCTTTTCGTTTGCTTAAGGGCTATTTTATTACCCTTATTCTACCATCTAATGGTTGTTATTCTTTTAGATTAATCTTGTATTTTTTATTTATAATATAAACTTTCTTAAACACTTCTGATTAATCTTGTGTTTATAAATTATAGAGGTTTGAATAAGATAACTGGTTATGGAATATTAAATTTAAATAATTTGTTGTCTGCATTTAGTTTGCTTAATAGTTTTAGTATTATTTATTAATCGAATTGATCAATCAGAATTTTATAGCTATAAAGAGAATAAAAAGTAAATGTGGTAATAAAATTAAATATTTATTCTCTCTGGGCGTTGATTGACACGAACAACCCAAGGTTTCCCACTTGCACTCCTAACTTGAATTCTCCCAATCTTCTGGAGCGCAGATGGAACATCCACCTCTCCACAGTTGGCAACAATGGCGTCCAAGTGTGGCCGCAAATCCTCAAACAAGCTGTCCTTTCCATTGCTCATCTCAACCATGAAATTGGGAACCACCAGCCCATTCCCCGGCTGCTTGTCAAAAGCCGTCTCAGTGTCATCAAGCCACACCACCCTCGCTAAATCGCGTCCGAATGCTTGGGCGCTCAGATCTTTGCTCCTGGTAGGGCACGATTCCCTGCTAAGCCTCTGGGAGATCAAAGTTCCCGTGGGATCCAGCTTGTCCGCTATGCCATTCACATAAGGCTCGTAGTTGTAGGAAAAGATGACAATCTCATACAGCTTTGCCATGTCTCGCAGGAATTTGTCAAGGCCCGGACGCTTGTAGACGGCATAGCCCTCAACTACCATGTCAGCTCCCATACCTGAGGAGTTTTTCAGCCTACGAGCGCAAATCAGCGTTCCATCGAGATCCAGCACCAGAGTTGGCTTGCCCATTGTTAGGTTTCTACCCAATAGAGCTTTGTAATTTATAAGGAAGTAAACCTTTTCTAATCCCTTTTGTTACTTGTTCTTCGCTGAGGCTTGCCTTCTTTCTCTGGCTCTTTTCTGCAAGCAAGCGAAAGATTGGAAGATTTTGACATTGTAGCGGAGCTTACCCTGCAGTCTGCGACCATCTGGGGCATTCTCTGCATAATCTCGGCAGTGGTCTTCCTCCTGAAATCGCGAATCAAGCAAAGCATTTGGAAGAGTTTGATGCAAACCTCTCGGCAGAGATCCTGTCGCCCTTGTGACCCTTCATCACGTTCCTCATCTCCTTGCGTGGTTTATCGTAAGGCCAGTCTCTACACGAGCAAAAGTTCCAATGGGGAAAAGGAAGGGCGAAGAACAAAAGAACTACTGAGAAAGAGTAGAGAAATGTGGGAAAATCTTACCCTCCCGCGAGCAGCACTTCCCTCTTGATCTTGGCCCTCTGGCGAGCGCTGATCTGCAGCGGCTTCCAGCGGTGATCCTCCCAGTAGCCCCACACGCCCTTCTTGAGCTCCTCGCCCCATCGCTTGAGCTTCTCCACGGGCATCTGTGGCGCCGGCATTGACGCTATGCGCTTCATCCATTCCGCTCGCCCGCCCCCCATTCTCTCTTACCAAGAATTAGGGTTTATTAGTTGTATGAGGGCAATGGCTGTTGCAGCAAGAAAGAACTCCAAACGCCATGTTTTTGTTCTTCTTTTCTCTTATCGTTTTTATCCAGGCCCAAAGAGGACTGTTTAATCAGATTGGAGCTACGCTGCTGGCCTGAGCAATTGTAAACTAAAGGGAAAAACAATCTTGCGCACAAGGTCGCCAAACTTTTGTCTTGAGTTGACGTTAACCAGCGCCCTACAGTTGTTCCAGTCACCGAGTGATCCACTCTGTCTTGGTGGCCGCTCAAATCGCGATTGGGACGGAGCCCCATCGTCCCCATCGCTCGGCCCAATCGCTAGCGGATTGTGAGAGTTGTTGTGGACTGTCTTATTTGGGATCTGGGTGCTAGCAAGAAAGGCGCATGACTTACGCTCTTTCTGTTGCCTTGAGTTTACTTTCCAGAATTTTGTAAATTAAACATGGTTTCCCTAGTCAAGGGTGGTGGAGATTCAATGGCTGTGATGGCATTGGCGTAAAGCTGTCTTGTAATTTGAAAAATGTTGTTGCGCTAGATCAATGGGAGCGTGTTTGTGATCAGGGATTCTACTTTGGGCTCCATTCTGGCTTATGTTGTACTGGGCATTCGGCCTCACAAGACGGTGGATCATCCTGGACTTGCGATCTAGAGCTGGAGCAAAGTTTCACACCAAAAGCAGGGCGAGCTTGCTAGAGAAGTTTGTGAGCTTTGCCAGCTGTAAAAGGGTTTAGGTTTTGTAGTGCGGCTATTTGCACCTCATTCAAATTTGAGTTTTGGCTTTAATTTGATCTCAAATTAATAGTTAAAATCAGTATTTTTTGATGTTGATTTCCTGTATAAAAAATAGGAAAAAGATAGTTTGTGAATTTTTGTAGGTTTTATATTTCTTACTTTTTCCCTACCGCTCTCTATATAATGTACGCAGGCTTTGCTTTGCCAATCGCATTGTGGAAGCTCAAACAGACTTAGCGAGTTGGTTTGTGGCTTGATCTTAAGCGATAGTCTTGGGTGAAAGATTAATCACTCCCCTTGACTTGGGATCTTGTGAAGTAAGATGCAGCTCCTGAGCCTCGTTGCAAGGAAGTTTAATAATGAGGTTCAAGTCTCTCATCCTATTCAAACAATGCAATACCTTTAGAGGCATTAATCTTATTATACATATGGTGGCAAAAGTTAAACATCAATACCTAGCCTCTTCACTGTAATTCAACTTAGTGCTTGCCACCAGATCTCACAAGTATCCAAGTTATAGATGAAAACATTTCCCTCTCCTCTAACAACAACACTAGTGGGCATAATGCAATTTGGTTGGGGCTTACAATACACTCCAGCTGCCCAAAAAACATTCCCATCGATGTCCTTAATAACCAAGTTTCCATCATGTTGTTGTATAGCATAGCATCCATCAGAAGGATGATAATTATGTTTGCTTACCCAAATTTCCTGATACTTCCTCTTTGTCATTAAGGCTAATTTACAGTCCATACGCAAAATCAACCTGTAAAGCCCATTCAATGAACTGATACCATTTCCTTGTAGAAGGTAAGATCCAGGTTCCTTGACTTGGCTACATATAAGAGAGTTTTCAAAGCTCCAGCAGCTCCCTTGATCACTATCACTTTTATGCGTAACAATCATTGACGAGCCCTTTGCATATACATTGCGACCATCAATCACTGATGAATTTTTTACATAAGCAATCATAGGTGAAATTCTTGCATATGAAGTGCTACCATTTATCACTGATGAATTCATGGCATACAAACTACGATTATTGTAGACATTAACCTGATAGCTGATTGCAAAGTTCAAAAACTCAGTGCGTATGCCTCCATGAAATGTCAATCTAGTTGTATCGATAGCGGCATCCACAGAAATCCGTGCAGCAATTCGAATGAATGAGTTCTGTACGTGTGTGGGATGAAAATTTACCAGGATTAAGGGATCAGTAACACAGATTATATACTGATTATTTACAACTAAAGGGGCATTCACATACAAATAGAAACTCACCCTGGTGTTACCAAACCACAAATCTAAAATTGACCCTCTTACTGAAATATGAGGATTGCCACTGTATACACGATTAATATGCTCAACAAGCTGTCGCATACTAGTTCGAAACTGTGACAATGATAATGTATGGAGATTTCTACGAAAGATTGTAAAAGGCTGAAGTTGGTATGGGTGAGGTGGGGGTGATTTAACACGAGTAACCTGTAACAGAAGTAACATCAAGAGAGTTGCAATGCTGTGGTATAACATATTGATTAAGAAAATCTATGCTTTATATTATTTATGTTAAATTAAACAATTATGAATTATAAACTAGAGTATTTTTATAGTTTAGATATTCTTTAATAAGTTCTGTTTTATATGTTGAAATTCACATACTTTACAATTTCTCACTTATGAGTTGTAGATACTTTTGAAAGTTCACATGTATTTTAAGTTTTGGATTTTCTTTACAAGATTTTGCACTTTCTAAAAAAAGTTTAAAAAAGGAGCTGTATAGGATCTATTTTTTATATAAGAAAAAGACTAATATCATAAAGCTGTTATATTATAATATAATACTATAAAATGTTCTTTTACCTTTTATGTATTTCTTTTCTATATATTTTTTAAAATAATTTTTTATTAAAACTTTAAAAATTAAATTATACTTCTGTGAGGTCTGTAAATATATATTTATATATAGATAAATAACATCTCATCTAATCGATCCATTTTTGTATATAAGTAAGGGTCTAATCCCTAATTAATATATTTATTCCCATATTACATTAATGGTATTAGAGGGAAAAAATGTTAATAAAGTCATGCACTTTGTTCATTCCATTAATCTATTATTAATTTTTAAAAAACCATATTTTTACTCATATATAGCTATGTTATATAGCTTTTGAAAAATTATTTTAAAAAAAGCTGAAATATGTATATTTGATTAGCCTAAAAACCTTAACTTATATATATATAGATTGAAACTAATTTAATAGCTATCAAAATCCCACTACAATATATAATATCATAATTGTACACTTAAACCTCACATTCTTCCCTCTTTTTAGTGTGATGAAAGTAGAGTTTTCTAATTGATGGGTCAGGATCTGGAGGAATATCAAAAGAAAGCATTAGTAAATTTGTAAACAATAGAACTTATTTCTGATCTCTTTTTATGAAATACTTTACTTGTTGTACATATATAGTTTCCAAAGGATTAGCATGTTGAATATTGTACTAAACTTTATAAACTTTTTATCTATCTTACCACAACACTTGATATAGTCCCTTTCAGTGAGGAAAGAGCCATTTAGATAAATTATATACTATAAGATTGGGATAATAAACTAATTCTAGATCATCCATTTTGTACTCTATAATTGAACAATGATAAAAGTTATAGTGTTGCTATTGTTTCACTTGTATATGGCCCAAATGTTCAATAGACTCTACTTAAATTAGTGAAAGAATGCTTATCAAATATTGATATCAACATTGAATTATGATCATATAAAAGTATATATGATGAAACACCAATAAAACTCTATACCCCTGTAACATATGCATATCAAAAAGATGGTAAATAACCATACTAATTTGAATGTTAAATGTTCATATACTTTCTGATAATTTCTTCGAAGGTTTGAATAAGCCCTTCCACCAAAACTTTTATCTATAAATGATAATCATTTATGAAAGTGTGGTGCATTCCCAACTGAGATATTAAGACATTAAATACTTTAACTGAAACTATTATTTGAGAGAATATGTTCTAGACAAGAATATTGTATTACCACTCAATTGAGGAGGAAGTAGCTAACAACAATTACAAATGCACTAGCAAAAACACTGATTTACACATAACAAATCAAGTAATCGAAAGTAATAATGATGTACTTATTACTAGCAATCAACCATGAAAAAGCCCCCATTAAATCAAATGCCATTAGTTTAAATAAATGGGAAACTCTAATTAACGCTAACCTTGCTTTACAACATGAGGGGAATATTACTAGCTTGACATTAAATGTAGCTATACATATACCAAATACATCACATTGCATCTTTAGTTAATAAAAAGATTTACATTTTCTTAGACACATGACAATATCCCAAGTGCCCCCCTAGAATGAGAGTGTTATGGCTTTAACATATTTGGCTTCGTATGAAATAAGAGATTCTAGAAGCAAACATCAAATTGAATAATTAACCCAAACGGTTTCTAATGAAGATAATGCAATTACTAAAAGTATTGCCACAATCTTCAACATATCCAAATGTGTGCTTAAAGACGTCCAAAAAAAGGCTCTAATTTACACGAGTGCAACAATGTTCCTTGGAGACATGTTGAAAACTCATATAAAACACTGAACATTATCCCAAGAATGATAAGTGGCAATCACTATTAAATGATTGAACCAATTGTACATATCATCCCTAAGATTCCTATGAAGGAAATCCAATTGGGCATAAGAATTGGTAGCAAGAGTAATAGAAGTTGCAACACATGTTGTTAATATTGCCGTCAATTGAGTTTAATTTATCAACTTCAAAGGAGGTGGATATTATTGATCCCAAGTGGCCAATTATATCACTCATGACAGTCTTGAAGTTGTGGTGGTAGAGTTTTAAAGGAATATACTTGCTACCAAAAAGATTGTAGAAGCTACTACTAAAGAGGATAGTATTGAGCTCTTTTGTACTTAGTGATGAGTATAGATGTGTCTTCCATACACCTCTATACCTGGAAGTTTTAAAAATTACAGTCAAAATGTAAGAATTTTATTCTTTACTTTAGAAATGTAACAGGTATGCTAAATTTCTAAGAAATATGGAAGCTTTGTAGCTTATTGTAGGATTCTTTACTCATGTTCAAATGGAGACTAAACCAAAGGATCTATTTAATGTTATTATCATGCTTAGGTTCTAATTGGAAAGCATTGATCAGGTTATTTTCCTTAAACACAGTTTGTATTAGTGATAAGTAAAAAATTATTATAAACTTTTAAGAGTAATAAAATATCAACATTTAGCTTAGAAAACATAAATATTCTAGGTACATTTTAAACATAAGGATTTGCAATAATAGATCATATTTAGATACTAGTTACAAATAAATATTAAATGCAATTAGTAATATTTTAAATAATATTTAAAAGAATCAAGGAATTTTTAATTATATAGATAATATTTTAAAGTTTTTATAATAGTTTAATTGAAGGTCTAGATAATGTTTATTTAAAATATTATTACTATTACTTTATTTTTTAGTTCCATATTTAGCATTTTTTAAAAAATATTTAAAAATAAAATACAATTAATTATATTTCAAATTATTATTTTAAGTTTTATTGAAAGTGAATGTGCGTTATATATGGTCATATATGGTTGAGAGAGAGAGAGAGAGAGAGAGAGAGAGAGAGAGAGAGAGAGAGAGAGATTTAGCTCCCCATACATGGACTAACAAATTAAGAATAAGGAAATTGAGTGGATCTTTGCAAATGACATAAAAATTCCATGTGGACAAAGTGGAAAATATGAAGAATTATTGTCCATATACTTTGTATAAGTTTATCCCTAGTTTACTGTGTTATAATGTTACCACGACAAACATGATGACATAACTATACCTCAAATCAAGAGACGTTTCCCTGGGATCCTTTGGGCCAAGGGGGATCTCCCTACTCTACTGGAAAACTAGGCTGTTTTGCACCACTTGGCTATCTACCTGCATAGAATAAAAGAGATTTAGGTGGCTCAAGCACAAGAGAGTGTAGGTAGAGATGATCCCTCTTGTTCTAAGTTCGTCTTATAGATGGGCACTAAAAAACCCCAAAAACATGTATATTATTAAGGACATTGATAGGAACTTGAATGAGCGAGTGAACACTTAGCATGAAGAATTAGAAACTTCAGTGCCTTTAAGCAAGGGAGGCAATCTTTGGGGTTGTTAATTCACTCAATGGTGGCACAGTGATAACAGAGCGGTGGACATGGTATGCCTTTGACAAAAGCTGAGAATAAAAATTTGAGTGAGTGAAACTTGAGCCATTCACCAAATATATATCTACTGTGAGAGGAGCTCAAGGGGGATCAATCCAAAGTGACTATGGCTGCTCTTCTATCAAGATGGGAACACTTGGTGGAAAACAGTATAAAGGGATATCTGTGTCTTAGGAGGAAGTCATGCGCCAACTATTTCATTAAAATGTTGGTGGCAGTATCCATTAGGGTTTATCATTTATGGTCAATCGCCTGCTAGTGGAGTCTCCAACGCTGCCAATATTTTGGAGGATGCTGGCGATCCTTCCAAAGGTCGCGTTGTACCCTTTCTTGATCAGCTCAAGAAGGCCACATTTCTACGATGCTCAAAGAGACTCTGATGCTTTCTCTTGTTTTGGTCTTCTTTGTGGCTGCAACACCATCGCTTGCATTCAGCCCAGGTTTGCGTGCTTCCTCTAGCTCGGCATGGAACGTTCCACTGGAAGAACGAAGAGCTTACTTCCAGCAACAAAAACTGGATCACTTCACACCCGAGGTTTGAGAAACAAATCTCGTACTATCTTTGGATTGTTTATTCTTTAGGATACAAGGACGTTTCCTCAGAAATACTTCGAGCTATTGGACTACTTTGAGCCTCAACGAGGGCCGATGTTCCTGGTTATGTGTGGAGAGACCTCATGCCCGGGAGGATACGCTCAACTCACATCTGTAGGGGTACGCTGGACAACAACATTTTTCTTCTTCTCGCTGTCTTAAACTTTTCTTCAGGATGTTGCGAAGGAGTTTGGAGCCGCTGTCGTGACCTTGGAGCACAGATTCTACGGTGAAAGCTCACCATTTCACAACCTCACAGTTGACAACCTCAAGTATCTCACGATCCAGCAATCTTTGCTGGATCACGCGGAGTTTATCGCTTTCTATCAGGTGAAACTTCTTTTGTCACGCTCTCAACTCTCGTAAGATTCTTTTCTTTCAATTCTTCAGAAGGTAATCAATGCCAAGTTCCAGAAGGACGGAGACAACCCGTGGCTCGTGATCGGAGGTTCCTATGCGGGTGCTTTGAGTGCTTGGTTCAGACTGAAATTTCCGCACTTGGTGATTGGAAGCTGGGCCAGCTCTGCTGTGGTGCATCCGATCTTAAGCTACAGTGCTTACGACAGGCAGGTGATGAAAACTTAATTAAGTTTTTTCTCCCTGACTCGCAGACAGATGGGAATCACTGCTGGCCCAGAATGCAAGCGAGTGCTGCAGAATGTCACAAGCATTGTTGAGAAGGCTTTGCTAGAAAACGGAACCGCGATCAAATCTTTCTTTGATCCAAACGCTGTAAAGGTAAGTTTTTTAGTGTTTTTTCTGTCACTCAAGAAAGTAGTGTTGCTTTTGCAGCTGCAAGACGTCGATTTTCTGGCTTATGTGGCTGAGATAATAGCTGTTGCAGTAAGAAAACAACTCCAACGCCATGTTTTTGTTCTTTTCTCTGATCTGTTCCGTTTTGCTACAATCCAGGCCCAAAGCGGACGGTTTAATCAGTTGTGTACTTCAGTACTCAACGCAAGTGCTACTAACAATGCTACAAAGCTTCTGGTAACTAAATTCGTCTTCCACGTACAATCACCCAACTGTTTCAAACAGGACGTATTTTCATCCTTCCCAACCGGCCCTGTGGACTTCTTCGACGTGGAACTACTGAGACTTTCAGTGCAAGCTAACCAAAGTAGTGCAAGAGATCAATGGGCCTGGAAGTATCAAGTTTGCACGGAAATGGGACTCTTTCGAGTCTCTAGCGGACCAGATGGCTTGTTTTCTCTCCAAATCAACACACAGTAAGAGCAACCAAACGTAGCAATTCCTTCGAAGAACAATATAACTCTCGATGTCTCAGGTACTACTTGGATCAGTGCTCGCAAATGTTTGGTCAGGGAATCCAACCGGACGTTGCAACGACAAACCTGTTGTTTGGGGGAGCAAAGATTGCCGGTACTTCCATGTTTTTGAGTGTTTCTTTTCTCATGGTTTGTTCTTGTAGGCTCCAAGATCATGTTTCTAAATGGATTGGAGGACCCATGGCGGCATGCTTCGATCCAAAACATCACGTCTTCTTCTTCTGGTACACACATATTCTTGCCAGAAGCGTTTGATCAATTGTTACTGTTTCTATTTCGCAGAGCCATCGTTTATGCTGGACTGCCACTCTTGTTCCCACGTCCAGGATTTCAAGACAGGGTGTGTGATAACAAGTAAGCTTCTTTTCGTTTTCTCCCCCAACTCCATAACTTTTCTACCAGATCCTCAAGAATGCGACATGCTAGACAAAGCTCGCGCGTTCATTCGCTTGCAAATTGGGAATTGGCTCCAGGAGTATATGAGCCAGCCCTAAAAGAATCAGCTTATGAATATTCTTTCAAATTTGAATTTTTTTCTGTTAACAAGATACATGGTGGCGGCAATTCAGGGGCCCCGCGAAGGCCGTCATGGCCGGCACCAACGCCGCAGGCCTCGCGGGGAGACTCGATGCCTTGGCATATACCGCGGCGCTTCCCGCGCCCGAGGGCCTGAAATACGCGCCGTTGATGTAACTGTCACCCTCGGATCGCCAGTTCCACTTCATCCAGCTCCGCTCGCCCGCAAACTCTCGCTTGGTCACCTGACAACGAGAGGAAGAACCCTAAATGTTAGCATTGTCAATCGTGCTGGAGTGCAAGCAAGTTTCTGTTTTGGGTGATGTACCTGCTTGGAGTTAACGTCGGCTGGCGCCACGAATCTGTTGCCCTGGCTATTGATCGTGGGGTTTGCGCTGCCGCCGATCGCGTACATTCTCCAGTGCGTGTAGTGATTGTTGACAATGTGGAAGTATCCATACCGGCACCTGTTGGGATGTCTCACGCGATCAAGAACACAAGAGAGAAATTGAAGAAAAAACGAATCACGAACCTGGGCATTCGCTGCACAAGCCCCTCCCCGAAGTGATTGAAAGCGATGGTGACTTGCATCATCTTGTCGAGGGTGTAGCTATCGCTGTGGCCGAGCAACATCACCTGGAGTGAGCCACAAGGAATCTCGTAAGCTTGCGTTCGATTACTTGCAGGAATTGGGCAGAAATTTCAGGCGAAGCAATCCAGCAAGCAATCCAACAAGCCAGAAAACCAGAAGAACGCAAGCAAAACGCATCCAAGCACCAAAATCCATGGGAAGCTTACCTTGTTGTGGTCGCGAAAGTAATTGTTTGAGATCGTGATCCCCGTGGATCCCATGATCGCGTCGATGAGGCCGTCCGCGCAGTCGGCCAGGAAGCAGTGGTCGATCCACACGTCCCGGGAGCCGAAGATGGATATTCCGTCGCCGTCCGACACCGTCCGCCAGCCGACGTGGCCGGGCGAGCTCCGTACCATGGCCGGCCCCGTACGGCGGCAGCTGTGGATGCCGATTCCGTGCACGATGACGTTGCGGACGTACTGCACGGTCAGGCACCCGCCGTACGCAATCCGTACCGCGTGCCCCCGGCCGTCGATCGTCTTGTGGCTGTTGACGATGAGCTCTTGGGAGAGGACGATGGTCATGTCGCGCGCGAAGATGATCCACAGTGGGCGGTCCTGGATGGCGCCGTAGCGCAGCGATCCGGGCCTCGGATTCACAGGATCGTCCGAGGAATCGGTGACCGTGTAGAAATCGCCGTCGCGGCCGCCGATGGTGTTCTTGCCGAAGCCGATGGCGCAATCGGCCAGGCGCTTGCGGTGGGAGTGCCAGTGGGGATCGCAGCGCCAGCAGTCGTCGATGGGGTTCCCGGTGGATCGGCAGCTCCGATCGCGCTGCTGTTGGTCGTCTTCTTGCCGCCCCCATTCTTGTTCTTGGTCTTGGATTAGGGTTCTTCTTCTTCTTTGATCGGCGTCATCGTCGTCATTACTCCTGCTGAAGAGATCGAGTGAGTTGGATGGAATGAATGCAGTAGGGCGGGATCAATCAAGGCAAGGTTGGTTGATCGGTGGCTTGAGCACCGGCCATGAATGAAGGAAAGGAAGAACAGGGGAGTCGGAAATCCGGGAAATTCAGAGCTGGGCGATGATTTGGGCGACATGGGTCGTGGATTTTTGGAAGCGTTTGAGAGAATGGCTTGGAATCGTTGCTGAATTGTGGATGATTTTTCGAGCGTGGCATCAACCGTGAGAAACAGAGCAGGGAAGAGGAAGGAGGCAATGTGGACACACCTGATGGATTTTTGGTGATGATGCTCCGCTGCCACCGCCGCCGCCGCCGCTGGATTGGCAATGCTGGAAAGATTGAGCGCCGCCGAGGATCTCACGAACACGAACAGCAGGACGAGCGCGAGCCTCTTGCAGAAATCCTTCATCGATCTGAGACCTTCCTCGTCTTCCTTCTCTCAGTTTCTATCTCCTCTTTCGATTTTAAGAGGAGGGAGGAGCGAATGTATCACATCAATGGATCCAACAACACCAGCGAGAGCAGAGGAACGCTCTTGCAGCAGAGCGTTGTTGTTGCCAGGGAAACGAGGAAAGGAAGAAGCAAGAAAGAAAAATTAAAGGCAAAGAAAGAAAGCGCAGCGCAAAGAGCACAGGAGATGATCAATGCAATGCAGCAACCACTGCGCTCCTGCGAGAAAGGACCACAAATCACTGCCAGATCCCAACTGAAAAACAAACAAAATAAGACCAAAGCAAAAAGCGCAGCGCTCGCTTTCCTCTGCTTTTTCTCTTGAATCGTCCTCCAATCTCTCTCCCCCCTCTCTCAAATCGCGAAGCGCGGAGAACAAAGAGAAGATCAATCAAGAACAAAACGAAGAACGAGCAGCGCTCTCGATCAATCGCGTCGCCAAAGCTTCTAAAATATGAGCAACCAAGCAAGAATCTAAACGTTTGCCAGCTAACACAGATGCTTTCTTCCAAGCCTCATGCTTTTCTTCCCTCCCTTGTTCTTGGAATATCATATACGGGGGCATATCCCATCATACGATCCCTCGTAACGGGCATCTTTTCGTACGCCTCAAGAACACACAAGAAACTAAAAAAATAAGAAGAGCTGGAATGGAACGTTTAGATGAATGCTTCGAGTACATATCAAGTCCAAAACTTTGAAGAAAGGAAAACATCACTCGCTAGAAACTAGTTGTCGAGATCTTTTTTATCAGTTGCGTGGTGAGCTCTCTCTACTGTGACACTCCCAGCCACTTGGAGAAGTTCTCAAAGTCCAAGTAATCACTGTCCGAGATCATCGTCTTGTACCACAAATTTCCAGCCTTGCTGATCGCGGCCTTCTCTTCGGGGTTCTGCAGAAACATCGATCGCAAAAGAGTTAAGTCAGACCGGAAAAGAGAGAAAAAAATTTCTTTTTTGTTTACCTGGGCGCGCTTGGCTGCGAGCTTCTCCTCCTTGGCGTTCTTCCGCCGCTCCTCCATCATCTTCCGGGCGGTGCTGGCGTACGGGTTGAGCTTCACCATCGCGTTGAAGTTCTTGAGCGGGTTCCTCTTGAGCGGCGCCCTCTTCACGTCGGTGATCTTGGGCCTCACCACGCTCTGGATCTCGTCCGAGTTGATGATCCGCGACAGGTCCGAGTTGGACATGATGGGACGCGGCAGCAGGTAGTTCTTCTTGAGCGCAGCCGGGGTGTCAAAGCTGCCGAAGATCTCGTCCAGTTTCTCAAAGGCACACTTGGTCCAGATGATGAACCGACCGAGGTGGCCGCCGGGGGCGAGCTGCAAAAGATTAAGACGATTCACGTTGCAAACCTCGATACCTGGGATGTTGGTGAAGGCCTTGACGAGCTTGGCCCCCTCGGTCCCGTAGATGATCAAGGGACCCCGGCGAGAAACATACCTCCGGTTGCGCATCTTTCCCTTACCGCAGCGGATGTTCCGGCTCTTCTTCACCTTCTCCACGTCCTCGTACGCGCCCAGCGTCTTGAGAGCCTTCACCGCCACCGAGGTCTTCTCGATCGACTCGAGGGCGTCGCTCACCACCAGCGGCACCTCGGGCACCTTCTCGATGCGGTGGCCGCGCGCGAGGAGCAGCGACGGGATCGCCGACGCCGCCAGAGCCGACACCACCGCGTAGCGCTTGAGATTGATGTTGAGCTTGCGGTGCCAGCGGCGGTACGTCTTGGTGGGCGCAAACATCCGCCCGCCGCGACACATGTTGCCGAAAGCTCCCTGACCGGCGCGGTGAGTTCCTCCACCCGGCACGCGAGGAATTCGCGACACAGCGCGGCCAGTGCCCCATGACTCGGCCGACGTCTGGTGCCCTGCCTTCTTGCTCACCGCGTATGGCTGGCGCTTGTTCTTGGCGATGCCAGTGTGGACTTGCCGCACCACATCTGGCCGGATCGGGGACTTGAACACTTCAGCGAGTGCCGCGGTGACCCCAGCCTTCGTCGGATCGCCAGCTTCCAGTACCTGGACGGAAACAGTCGGTCGAGCCGCAGCCGCCATCTCCTCCTCCTCCCAAAACCCTGCTCCGCCGCTGGAAGAACCCTAATGCCAAGAACCCCAGATCGAACGGCTGAAGTTAAAGGAGGATTATACTCTATATTTAACTGTTAGGGCTCGTGAAATATATAATGCGTTGACTAGAGCTGACTAGAGTTGACTAACGAGACTGTCCGTTTCAAAATTGCTTGTCAGTGTATAGGGCGGTGGCTTTGATCTTGTTGGACTTCGCCACATCCAAGTAAGGATCCGAGAGGAATGCTTGATCGAACATCTCGATCGCTTCCACCCACTTCCCCTCGGCGACGTAGAGCAGGCCCAGATTGTTGCAAGCCGGGGCGTAGTTCGGGCAAATTCGCAGAGCCCTGTCGAAGGATTCGTGGGCCTCGGCAAATTTCTTCTGCTGCCTGTAGAGGTTTCCCAGGTTGGAGTGGAGACCGTAGGACTGGTTCTCGGGCATGAGGCTCAGCGCTCGCTTGTACACGGCCTCGGAGAGGGAGGGATCGTCGGACAAGTGGAGAGCTATGCCTGTGTAAACAACGAAGCTCGTCAAGGAAGAAAGAAAAACAATGAAAAGTCGAGAGAACGCACCTAGATTCGACCAAGCCATTGCGAAAGTTCTTCGCCGAGCGATGGCCGATTTGAGATAGCTTTGCGCTGCGACGAACTGCAAGGTACACAGAGTGTGCAAGCCGAGCTGATGCCATTTCAAAGCATCCTCTGGATCTTCCTCGATTGCCTGCGAATATATCATCGCTCTTGTCACGAAGAAACAAAAGGAGAGAGTTGGAAGGAACTAGCTGAGAGCTTACCTGCTGGAGCGTATGAACTGCTCGTTCTTCGACATCTTTCGAGTCCATCACGCCACGATCGAAAGACGCCGCGGATTCGTGCTGTGCCCGGTTCACCATCGCCAGTCCAGCCCATGCAAGATGAGGATGGAAAGTTCCTGGGTCTCCTTCTCTCAGGATAGAGGCCATCTCGTTTGCAGCCCACGACATTTGTTCCGATGGATCGTCTGATCTTTCGGCGTCTTTTATCCTGTGAGCGGCCACGGCATAACGAGTAGCTAGTCTGTGGGGCTCCAATCTGGAGGCCTGTGCTCAAAAAACAATGTTTTTGGCTTGGTGAAATAAAACATCGTACTTCTTACCTGTTCCAAACATTTGCTAGCGTTGGTAAAATCGCCCAGGACTTCATAAGCAGCAGCAAGATTGACCCAAGCCGAGCCAGCTTTCGGGTCTTCTTTCAAGCTGGTTTGCAAGTATAAACAAGCTGCGTGTGCGGCTTTTAGCTGTGTTGCATAAGCTCCGGTTTCTTTACTAGCTCCAGCTCCAGCTCCTGCAATCCCTTGCCTCAGACAGCTTATTCGTTACCGCAGTAGATTGCTTACCAGGCAAAAAGGAACCGTGTTGTCGCACAAGTATTGCTCCATAGTTAATAAGTGCTCCAGGGTGGTACACATCTTTCTCCAAGACCGACTGCAAGCATCGGGCTGCATTGTCCAGCTCGCCACTGTAAGCAAAAAGCGAAAATCACACAGGAAGAGAAAAGCTCGAGTACCTTTGGAAATATGCAACTCCAAGGTTCGCAAGAGCGTCGAGAGAGTCCGGTAATATACTCAACAGGCTCGTAAAAACAGAGATTGCGCTCTGCGATTACCAGAAAATCAAACAACGACTTGACGGATTGACACCAACGTTCTCACTTGAATGCGGCCGGTGTGCAATAAAAGGAGTCCCAAAGTGTTCCATATGGAAGCTTGGCCAGAGTCCTCAGGAACGGCTTCCTTCACTTTTGAGCCAATCAAACGCATATTTTCTTTGGAGAAGTCCTTTCCAGGCGAGATTTGCCCGCCGATCTTTCCCTGCAGAAGACACTGAAGAGAAAAAAAACGAAAACAATGAGCTTGGAGATGGCAAATCCACACAACATACCATACCTGCGCGTGATGGTTTTGTACCAAGGCCAACAACTGAGCTCTACCTTGGCGGCAAAGGTCATCGTCGGCTTGCTTTAGAATTTCTTGTGCTCTCTCAAAGGCCGGAATTGCCTAGAATGAACATTTCTCGCCTTTACGATCGAAAGAGCAAAAAAGCAGAACTCACTTTTAGTGGTTGGTCGGAACGCTGGTACATCAGTCCCAGGACGAAATGCGCGTGTGCATTCTTTGGTAGCTTTCGAGATACGTGCACAAGTCCCTGGAAACCAAGAGGATAAGAAACCAAAATCTCAGAAGAAACGTCCGGACGCTTACAGCTTTTAAGCTCTTGATCTTTTCTTCCTTCACGTTCTGTACATTGCCAGGATACTCCAAGTCGCCATCCACGCCGGACTCGGACCACTTAGATTTTGATCGAGACTTGAAAGTCTTCCCCGATTTCTTCCCTTCCTCATCCGCTGGACTGTCTTCCTTCAAAACTCGTCTTCTTCGTCTTTTCTCCTCTGGCCTGAAAACATAGAAAACAAAACGGTCCTTCACAGTTCTATCCAAACGGTAACAGTATGGGCTGTAAAACTTCTCCAAAGTTTTCGTTCTATGCCACTAAGGTTTCTACCGGGTTCTAGATTAGAGGAACTATAGTCTACTTGCGAAAGTCTTACCGAGCTTCACCTTCCTCCTCACCGTCGCTGGTGGGAGGCTCCACATTTAAATCGGCAAACACTCCACTGCTGCCACGAACAATCGACCCTTCCTCCGATTCCTCCACTTTCTCATCGCCGCTGTTGTCAGCGGCGGCGCCGTCCTTGGCTTCCACGCAGCAAATCTGCTTGCTAAAATCCTGATGGTGCTGCTCGGGGGGCTCGGATTTCACACCTGGATTGTACTGCTGCTGCTTGGAAGTCGAAGACGAGGAAGAAATCAGGCCGTGATGCTGGAGGGATTGATGATGGAGCGCCTGCTGGTGGAGCGCTTGCTGGTGGAGCGCCTGTTCTTGCGCCTTGTTGATCCCTCGCTTGGAAGAGCCATCGGCCATAGAGCCCTAGACAAAACCCGCAAGTAAAAACGAGAGCTCCTTAAAAAGGGGGAAAAGAAAAGGGGAAATATAGTTTGTGCTGTGACGGCGGAATATTCGGTAAGATGAAACCTTCTTGCCGGCATTTTCATTTTCTAGGGTTTCCAGTGCTAGGGCGCGTAGATCGGCATCTCTCCCGGGGCGATCGGGCTTGTGAGTAGCGCCGGAGTGGCAGTCTTCCTTGGGCAGCGCAGTGAGCGATCGATCGTTTTGCTCGCCCTCATGATGCGTCCAATCGAGCAATGCTCTCAAGAACCGCGGGCGTGGGAGCGCTGGTGCCAGTGGATGCGCACGGAGATGGTGAATGCGCGCCGCGGCAGCACCGGATAACTTGGCAAGGGTCTCATTGGCATCGATTCGAGTATGGGGTCACTGGATTCCCAGTTCTTGCAAAATTCCTTCCAGGATTTCGACTACGCCAATGCTAATGGTAGCTACAACTCCTACGCCGATCTTCTTCCTCTAGCGGCAACCCCAGTGGATCCGGCATACAATCCGCCTGCCTACAATCCCTTCGCCACAGGCTACGTTGCTGCCGATCAGGGACACCCGCCGCGATACAATCCTCTCTCCCAGAGCCTGCCAGCGTTTCCATCCGTGTGCTACAGCGATCCCCTTGTGAATTATCCCAGCACTCCCGCTGGGCGTGGATACAATCCGTTCGCTCAAGACTACGAGTTTCCAGAGCCGGAGGTGGGAATACCTGTTTACGAGCAGCAGCCTCTTCTAACGGGTCCTTACAATTATCTTCCAAACAGAGCGTCCACTCCTCCCAGCATTCGGCAGTATGCTCACGCTCTCCCGGCAGCTTATAGCTTTCCAGTCCAGCAGGAGTTTGATCAGCCCCGCGAGCTGGTTCCAGTTCCTCCTCCGAAAGATGCCGTTTTTCCTTACAATCCTCCGGCTGACACCTCAAACTCGCAACGATTGCTCTGGCTATCGGAAGAGGAGGCGGAGATCATCAGGTTGATTCGACTTTCGCAAATGAAGGTACTTTATTTGCGTTGTTACGTTGTCTCTGATATCCTGTTCCAGGAGAACTTGAGATCCTCTGGATTTTCCTTGTGCGAGGACCAACAGATTACTCCTGTTCCAAGTCCTAAGCTGGCTTCAGTACCAAATGCTGAGCAAACAGTCGAGAAAGCAGCACTGTGCATAGAAAGTAAGACTTTCAATTTACCGGTTGGGGAACTGGTCTTGCCAACTTCAGCTGAAGTGGCTCGTCCAAGGGCTAGTTTTGGAAAGGATGTCAACCAGAAAGCACCCCAGAAAGCACCTCAGAAAACACAAGAAGTGCAAGAAAAGGCATTGGATTGTAGCTTCGAGAAAGTCGACATTGCAAAGATCGTTGATGACGACCGGCAATGGATTGCAATGCAGAGACAGAAGATTACGGTGCGTCCCGAGTGCTCATCACTTGTTGTGGTAACCACTGCGGTGATTTTGCAGGATATTACGGAACGTAAAAAGCAGAATGCAGCAGCCTGTATACAAAGGCATTGGCGAGAACACCGTAAAAAGGTTCTGCGAAGACAAAAATCAAGGGTGAAGAAACGGAGTCCGGTTCCGCAGAAACCAAGCCCTGCAAAGCCACCTAATGTATGAGCAATTCTTTTCTGCTTCTTGATCTTTCTCATTCCGTGCCACAGAATGTAAGACGACCAAGAGTATCCAAACGGAGGCCTCCCACGATTCAAGAAGCAGCAAGGACTGTCCAGCGTTCTTGGCGGGCGTGTTTTAGGAAGAAAAGACTGTTGAAGCCCAAGACGAAGGAAATTCTCCCGACTACATTGAAGGTGAACGAAGCGATCTTACAAATAGTTGTACTGAAAACTTTGTGCACTCTCAGGAGCTCTACGATGTAATCAAGCGGAGGCATGCCTCCAAAAACTTGAATCCTCCATCATACGGTACACACGCAGAGTAGGGATTTCGATCAATGTGCTTACATCTACTTCCAGGAAAGTTTGTAAGAATTTTGGAACGCGTGCATGCGTGCACTGAAGGCGCAAGAGTGAGGAGGCGATTGAAAACGAGAAGGTTACAAGCCGTCGTCAAGGAGATAAAGGTTTCAAAAATCGATGTGCTCGTTTCTAGAATCTGAATGTTCCTGGATTACAGGAAATAAGGTTCCTCTTGGAGGACATGCTGCAGGAAATGGCGCCAGGTTCTTCCGAGCTTGTGCTTCAGCTTTCGGGACAGCTGCAACAGAAGATCATACAGTTGCATACTGCCCTGCAAGGTAGTATTCTTCATCTTGAATACTGGTCTTACCATTCGATTGCAACAGGTCCTGGAGATGCTGCTCGATATCTACTGCGACGTGGTCCAGCGACTCCTCTTGTCATTTATGGTTCTAGATCAACATCTCCGACTTCACATCTTCAAAAGTCGGGGGAACAAGCTCAGATTCGTGTTATAGGAAATTCGCACACCGAAACTGGAGTTCCTTCTCTTAGGTGCTCACTTTTTACTGTGAACAAGTCGGGCGAGAAAGCGCCAGAAGATTCGCAAGGCACAGGGAACACGCACAACCACCATCGGGTCCAGGTACCTCAAAGTGACTACACAGTTAAACATTTGAAGAGGCCAGCAACTTGTTCAGAAGCTCCTAGGAAAGGCACTCCCGTTCACGAGGAACGAGGAAAAGCTCGAGAGGTTGAAAGATCGGGGATGAGCAAGAACGCTCGGTATTACTTCATGGAAAAGAACTTGGACTCTCAGCTTCCAGTGCCAAAGGCTGACACCGAAAATGCCGTTGCCTCGAGGCTGTCACAATATTTAGTCACGCGGAGCAAGGAGCCTGATGACTATGGATACGAGAGCAGCATTAGAACCGTAGAGAGCGATGTCGAACAATCCGACCAAGAAAAGCCCAAGAGACCGTTTCTACGACGGAAGTCTATGGCAATGGCTCCACAAAAGCTAGATTGGTCTAAGGTATTTTTTCTTTGTTATCACTTGTTTATTTTCTGGTTGTGACAACTTATATTGAAAGGTTAAGCCAATGGTCAGCTCAAGGTTGGAACCAGAGCTCAAGACGAAACTATACAGAAGTAAAGTCAAGGAGATTGCACGAAACGCGGCCTCGAAAAAGGTAGCAAGCTCTTCCAGCTTTGACGTGCTTGATGTTTCGTTTTGTGTAGACGAACTATAACAACGTCAAGAGCCGCCTCTTCAACTATGAGACAAGCTCCGCAGTGGACGCATCGGGAGGTTTGAGCACGGACAGGAGCATCGACGTAGAGTATGTTGAAGGTCTAACCAAGCAGAGCTACACGGAGATTCACACGCAAGTGGATATGAGTTGCAAGGAGGATTACTGGAGGCCAGAGTCAGCTAGCTCTACTGTTCCATATTCTGCTGAGGCACCGGATTCCAGAAGTGGGAATTCCGCTCTCCCAACAAGGCCGTTCTCTCCAAAGCCGCCACCCAAACTTCCATCATATAGATATGGCAAATCGGGAAGGGACAGTTACTCTGAAGCGAGAATCCAGACAGAAGGAACTGCTCTGGAAGAGATAGATCACAACGGAGGATTGGAGAGGAAGAAACAAACTCACTCTTTCAGATACAAAGAAGCAGTAGCCGCTGCTCCAGAGACAAGTGTGGCCGAGAAGGCGCCATTGATGAATGAAACAGCGGCAGCAAAACGGGACTACGCTGACGAGCAGAGTGCGAAGGATGATACTGCTCGAAAGTCATTGAACGAGGTTAGGCACGGCTTCTTTCAATTTCTCCTAACCCCTTTGACACTTTCTATCAGGGATCGTTTGCATCTCCGGAGCTGGAAACGATGTTCACGCACGTAATGTTAATGAAGGACGAGAAGAAAATGAGCGTACATCATCTCTTCGGGGCTCCACAGGTGAGAAAAAGATTCTAAATATCTCCCGCCTCTCACAACCATTCGTCAGGGAAATACGATCATTCCAAGGCTATCCCCGGATGCTTCGGTTTTTACGAGCAGCTTCTCCGAGGTGAGCATTGCTTTTCTTTGTTTGTTTGTTTAAAACACACGGTGGTGCAGAAGCGGAAGCTGCACGAGCTGTTAATACACGAAGGTCGCGCCAGCAAGTTGCAACCCGACGCACTAGCCTACGTCTGCATCCGAGAGTAACGCGAAAGCAATTCTTCCAGTATAGCACAATCCATAAAATGACTCGCTTTTACTAGGTAGTCCCAAAACATGTAATTCAAAAGGATTTTCTTTAAAAGAAACTCTTAAAACAAGTGGTTTTACACCACTGCCAGACAACAAATCACTTTTGCACCAATGAAAGTCAAATTGTATTGCCAACATTCTGAGAACTTGACATTCTCTTCATCTTATCTTCTCTATTAATAAGTCATTGAGTATTAAATTTCTTTTATGGGTGGTGGAGTTGTAAAAAATTAACTCTTTGAATGTTTTAAGTTAAAGGTCCCTCAAAATTAAGATCAGAACTATAAAAAATTTGTCAGATGACAATGAGTTCAAGACTCAATCTTCTAAGATTTGAGATTGGGTCTAAAATTAAATTTGAAATTAAATCTAAGACTAAGTTTGAAATCAAACCTGAAACCCAATTTAAAATTGAGTCCGAAACTAAGTCTGAACTAAGTGAAAACCCTAAATGATTGTATCTCGGGGACCTACAAGTGGGTTCTAATAACTTTAGGTGGGAATGAACATGGGTTTGAAGGGTGCATAAAAGGCCCTTCAAGGACATGCTCAAGAGTAATTTCTACTCCTGAAAAGGAAATTGCTTTCGACTCAAGTGGAACTTGAGTACTATGAAGCACTTGGCTTTCCCTTTGGGACAACGATGAAGAGTTAAGATACCCATATTGAGATCCATAGAAAAGGTAATTATTGGTACAACTTGTACTTAGGCTAAAAGCTTGAAGAGGGGAACAGGATTTTTAGATGCTAGTTTTAACTGCAGGCAAAAAATAAACCCAAGCATAGCACTTTTAGGATGTCTGGAGATATATATTGTATAT